CTTAAATATATTGAAGCGGGAAATAATCCAGAGAAACATTAGCGCCCTGGATAAAAAAACGGTATTTAAAGTGAAAGAAGAGAAGAAAATGGCAAAGCAGGTTTTTCCGTTGCAGATAATGTTGGAAAGAGACTTCCACCCGAATAATTGTTTTCAGGGTGTCAAAGATCATATCCCAAGGAGGCTGTGGAAGTCTTCAGTTGTAATCTGGATGTAGCAGATTGGATGCATGTGAATAAACTGAGCCTCAATCCAGCCAAGAAGGAAATCCTGTTGGTCAGTAAGAATCCTAACCTAGGATTGGGATAACAGTCTGTTCTGAATGAGACCGCACTTCACAGGGGTAGGCAACCTTTCCTCTTTAACGGCCGAGGGACTTCAGCTCCCAGAATCCCAGGAGCTATTGGCCAACATGGGACTATTGGTCAACATGGCTGAGGCTTCTGGGAGTTGAAGTCCCTCGGCCTTTAAAGGGGAAAGGTTGCCTACCCCAAAATATTAGGTTCGTAGCTTGCGGGTATTTTAGGATTCAGTGGTCCTGGAAGACCAGGTAGCTGCTGTGGCTTGGTGAGCCTTTGCCCAGCTTTGGTAATACACCAGCTGCGCCATTTTTAGGGAGGACCCATCTGACCAGAGTGGCTCAAGCCTTAATAAGCTCTCAGTTAGATTTCTGCAATGTAGCCTATATGGGGATGCCTTGAAAAGTGTTTTGAAGTTACAGCTAGTAAACACGTGGCAGCTAGCCAGACCATATTACAGCAGTCTTACAAAAACAAAAACAACCCTGCTCTCTTTTCCAAACTGCTTCTTAGCTCAATTCAATTTGCTAGGTTTGAACAAAATGTGAGTTCTTCGTTTCTGGCCCTGTTGGATGTCCCAGCATTTTAAAAAGCCTTTGATAGGGCTTTCTTTGTAGCAGCTCTTCCAAGGAAGAGAAGTCAGGCTGGCTGTGTCCCTTTTCACAGGAGACAGCAGCGTTCTCCATGACCTCTGGTCTTTGAAATTGCTTTGGGCTGTTTTAACAGGCTGAGCTTCACAGTATTTTTAAGGCCAGTTCGTAGCCTGTTTTTAAGTCTGCTTTACAAGTTTGTTCATTTGTGTGTTTTTAAAAGCTTGCTTGTATCCATCGTACATTGACTTGGGAGCCCTGGCAGGCTTTGAGATGATGCATAAATGCTATAAATAAGACCGAAGAATGGTTGATGGATCATTATAGCCCCATACACACTTTCTATTCCATGTGTGCTAAATCAACTGAGGGGCGGGCGGAGGATGCTGTTTGGATTTCTGGTCACATTATAATCATACCATGCATTTTTGACGAAAACTCCAGGGTCACTTGAAGTTGTGCAGAAGTCTGTTTTTCTTTCTCTTCCTGTGAATGGGTTTTTATACCCAAAGCAGTCTTGGCAGGGCAAGGGAGCAAAGGAAGAGGCTGCTTAATCCTTTCATCCTGCAGCAGTTTCCATTTGCTGAAGTTGTTCAGACAGCAACTGTGGGTGGATTGGCTGCTGTGCCTGAACTGAGCCCCAGAATTTAACGCGAGGATCTGTAAGACTAGTAAATAGCACAGATATATATTGAGGTGGGGTACCTGAATCTTAGGGCCTTTGCAGACTGCCAGAAATAGTGCAAATTGAGTCCCCTTTAAGGGTTAGGGAATCATGGGGACTGTATTTTATTGTGGCACCAGAGCTCTCTGACAGAGAAGGCTCAATGTCTCAGAAAAAAACAAAACAATTCCCATGATTCCCTAGCACTAACCCTAACCCTAAAAGTGGACTCAATTTGCACTATTTCTGGCAGTCTGCAAAGGCCCTTTGTGAGAACCAGTGTAGCATAGTGGTTTGAGTGTTGGACTCTGACTCTGGAGACCAGGGTTCGAATTCCAGCTTGACCATGAAACTCACTGGGTGACCTTGGGCAAATCACATTCTCTCGGTCTCAGGAAATGGAAATGGCAAAGTTCCTCTGAAGAAATCTTGTGACAACAACAACAAAAAAAACCCATGATAAGCAATATGTCAGAAACAACTGGAAGGCACACAACACTACCTGAGTCTTTCCAGATGTTGTTGCAGTCCAATTCCTATCATCCCCAGCCAGTAGTCTCTAGGACATGGTTGGGAAAAGTGTGGCCACCCAGTATCCATTTTTAAAAAATTGCCCCTAAATACTGTCTAGGGGATATGAGGAGTAATTTTGCCACATTTGGGGCCCTTTGAGATGTTTTAAGCCCAGAAGAGGCCTTTTTTTCCTAAGAGACCCAGGGCCTTTGCAGACTGCCAGAAATAGTGCAAATTGAGTCCACTTTAACTGCCCTGACTCAGTGCTAGGGAATCATGGGAACTGTAGTTTATTGTAGTCAGAGCTCTCTGACAGAGAAGGCTCAATGCCTCAGAAAAAAATATAATTCCCATGATTCCCTAGCACAGAGCCAGGGCAGTTAAAGTGGTCTCAATTTGCACTATTTCTAGCAGTCTGCAAAGGCCCCCAAACACTGATTTCAGAGTTGCTTCTTAATATAAAAGGGCTACTTTTGAAACTAAAATGACATAGACCCTCCAAAAATATGGTGAGAGTTTCCCCCTTACTCTGTATTGAGCATTTGGAGACAAAGGATTACTTTTACACAGAATGTGACAGTGGGTATGGCCTTCCAAGGGGGACCAATGCAGTTCCAGCACCCCCAGCAGTCTAGGATGATGGAAATTGCAATACCTCAGTATCCGGAGGGTCATACACCCCCCTCTTCTGTTCTATATTATTGGGTATTGTTGTGCAAAGGGATCTTGTAGCACCTTTGAGACTGAGTGAAAGTTCTTTCAGCAACTTCTTTTGCTCAGTTAGGGCCTTTGCAGACTGCC